GTGTGAGTGCTGGGCACGTGCTGCTCTTCTGGCCATGTGTAGCATGAGGTCTGCTGGGCTTGGGTCGCCAGTTACCTACCTGCTTGGACAGAGGCTGGGGAGGCTCCTCCTAATGACATTAAACAAGTGATGCTTTGTCAGCCTACGTGTTCCTCTTGCCCTGCCTTACTGAGCAAGGTGCTGCTCCTTGCCTGTACTACTAAGCAAAATCCTTTCCCTGCAATGGGGTTGAGCCCTCCTGGTCTCTGCAGGGATGGGGAGCTTGCTAAGTAGGCTTTCCTGAGCATACCAGGTCAAATGTTGGCTGCCTTGGTCTGCTCTTGCCTTACCCATCTGGCAAAAGCTCCCTCTAACTTCCATTTTAAGTTAAAATGGGAAGATAGCTGTCCTTGCCTGTTTCCTGTGTGCTGAGGAGGACAGCTCTGGGTGCACTCAGTCCTTCCCAGTGCTGTGGGGTTCCTCAGATCTCCTGCAAGCTTCCAAACCTTTCTGGGCTTGCTTCTGTGCTGTCTGTGGGCAGTTGCCTGCCTTGCCCAGTAGCTCTGCTTTCTTCAGGTGAGTTGGGTGTGTTGTGGGGTTGTCAGGTGGCATTTGCTCATGGCAACATGGGTCTGGGAAAAATGTTTTGTCACACAGTTCCAGCTATCCCCTGCTTGACTCTGAAAAATGCCCAAAAAGGTTCTCAGGAGAGCCCTGCCAACATCAGCATGTCATGCTCTGTGTCTGTGAAATGCCTTATGGAAAAGGGATGGGGAAAAGTGCTGCCTAAAGACTGCTGGTAGAGTGCACCTATACCCTGTGTTGATTTTCTGTGTCTGTCTCCCTTCAACACAGGAATTTCCCATAGATCTGCTTGACTGGAGACCCAGTCCTGGCTCCAGCACATACCTATGTGCACCTGGGGCTCACATCACGGATTTATGAGGTAGTCTGAGGTGCTGTTTGCCATCCCTGGCCATTAAGGTAGAACAAAGTGATTCATATTGTTGGCCTCTTGTGCCCAGAAAGAAAAACAACACAAGAGAACCTTAGGTTTATCTGTCCCTGAAGGCTGTAAAGAGTTAACAGGTCTGCACCTCAGCACTCACTCCATTTGCAACCTCTCAGGCTGGCACGGCTCCACATGCTTTTGTCTAGGAAAGCTGACTTTCACCTTGCTCCTGTTTACTCCTGGATGTGTGTACACAGTGCTGGGAAGGGAGACGCACAGACCTCCAGGCTGTCGTTGCGGAGTTATAAAGGAGATAAGGAGCTCCCTGTGCTCCAGGTGCCTGAGTCTCTGCAGGTCTGCTCCCTGTACAGCTTGCTGGTGATGGCTCTTCCAAGAAGCTTTTAGTTGAACCCTTGGTATGTTTGATCAGAGACAGTGAGCAGCATAAAAGCTGTTCAGTGTCTGAAAGCCTTGTTCCAGTCCCAGAATGCTTGATTTTGTAAAAGTTGTGGTGAGGATGTGTGGGCTGGGGTAGGCAACTGCCTGGGTTTGGTATTTCCCAGAACTAGCCAGCAGCTGGGGAACCTGCCCATGGGGCAGAGATCTGCTTGCTGCCTCAGAAGGGGGATGCTGCTGCTTTGGGGATCGGTGGAGTGCTGGGACTATGAGCAGAGGTCCATCAGAGCCTCAGCCTTGCCTGCATGCCAGCTGTGCTCCCACTGGAGCAGGGCACACAGTGCCCGTCCCTGCCTGGCTGTGCAGCCTGACCTGGGCTTGTGAGTCCTCTGTGCTGTGAATGGTGTCCACGGTTCAAGTGCCTGATGTCCAGCAGTGCATAAACTTTTATTTTTGCCACTGGCAGGCAGGAAAAGCTGCTCCATCCCTAGCACATTGGCTAATCCCCTCAGTGCTTACTGGGGATCAGAGCTGCTTATTAGTGTGAGGAAGAAATCCTGGAAGCAGCCTCCTGCAGTAGCAGTGGTTTTCTGCTCAGACCTCTCCTGGAAGGAAGCGTGTCAATAGCAGGGCTTGGCTTTGACTGCTGGGGCGATGTGGGCTAGCCCAGCAAGCAGTGTGCTGCTGCCAGTGGGTCTCCAGCCTGAGACAGCAGGAGGACTCTGAATGTCCTGTGCCCTTCTCCAGCTGGCAGTTGCAGAGGGTGTTCAGCTGAATGTGGCCTGAGATGGATTGGCACGGGCTGCCTGCTGCTGCCCTGCGTGTTCTGTGGCCTGGCAGCTCAGGGGATGCTGTGGTTGTAGGGAGGCTGAGTCTTCCCTCTTAGAAAGGAATGGCACTTTTTGAGCAGCTCTACAGGGAACCCTGTGGCGCTTGAGAAGCCCCGAGCCTTTGCTTTTAAGTCTGTGAAAGCACTGTGTGCCCTCTCACAGGTGTGTATGCAAGGAATGTGCCTGCTGCACATGCTGTACCCACTGTAACTCTTCTTGGGCTGCCAGGACCCATCTCAGGAGCCTGCTCCTTGGGAGAGTGTGTCCCAGTGCCTGGAGGGCACACACAGAGCAGGGCACACCGAGGTGCCCAGCAGCCCTCCAGCTCCCTGTGCTTTGGGGTGAAGCTGTACGAATGAGGCTTGCTGCCTGCAAGAAAAGCTTTCTGTGGGCTTTGAAGAGCTCTTCTGGCTTCCAGGAACTTCCCTGCCCTTAATCAAGAGGATGATGAGGAGTGAGTTTGGGGAACGCTCCCCTATAATCTTATTTGTGTTTCTGAGTCAGTAATTTCCTTGTTATGTCCTTTGGCTTGTAAACACTGTCTCTCCTGACTTAAATAGGGCTTTCTGATAGACGAACATAGTGCATTCCACAGTATGTACTAATCACCATGGCTGAGTGCCATGGCTTTGCCTATGTCTGGGCTGATCTGATAAGGCCAGCCTGCTGTCCAGCTGCTCAGTGGCCTGAATGTGGCTTTCCTTGAGCCACCCTAGCCAGGAGAGGCTGTTGACCGCTGTGATTCACAGCAGTGTGAGCTGGCGTGGGGTGAGGTTCAGCATGGCTGTCTGACCTGGCAGCCCACTTGAGCAGACCTACAGCAAACATGGCTCTACTGTCCTAGCTCAGGTGGACTGGAGTTCATCCTCCCTGCACCTCGATGGGATGGCCGTGAGCTGTAATGGGAGTGTGGCTGTGTGCTGGCAGCAGTTCGGGTTTTGGCTGGGTTTCATGTATCTTGAGATGAATTTGCCTTGGAGCAAGTGATCAACAATGTTGGGAGCACCTGGTTCCAGGGGGAAGGAGGATTTCTTCCCAGCAGTCCTTCCTCCCCAGGCCCCTTCCCCTTGCCCTGTGCCATCTGAAGCAGAGAGGAGCAGGGCTCTGGGAGAGCTGGGCTCAGTGCTTCCTGCCCTGTGGCCGTTCAGTTGGTTGTCCTCCAGCAGAGCTGCAGGGGAAACCAAAGATACCACAGTAAGCTAATGAAAAGCACGTCTAGTAGCCACTGCTCCTCATGCAGAATGAGAAGCATCCTGCTCTCACCACAGGGCCTTGTTTGTGGCAAAACAAATATGCTAATGGCAGGGAAATCTGGGCTGGGGCTGTGGGTAGAGGAAGTTGACACATGTGATGGATTGTGATGGATTGTTAGCATTTGCTTCTAAAATCAATAGTGGGCACAACTTGTCAGTTGGTTTGTCATTCGGTGTCACTGCTGGGCTGGAGGATGTGTCACACCTGGCTGGGCTGGCAGGGGGGCTGTTCCAAGTCCTGGAGCTGCACAGCCTGTCCTAGCAAAGCAGTGAGCAGCAGAGCTGGGGGGGTGAGGCCAGGATCCAACTGACCACGGTCTCTACTTAGGCTCATGAACTGTACTTTCCCAAAGCCCTCAAGTGTGAAGAACTGTGGGATGAAGGCATAGTTGTGGCTATTGAAAAATGTTCTCCTGGGATAAACCTCCAGGACTTAAACCAGAGAGATGCTGAAGAAGTGCAGCCCAGCATTTCTGTGGGGACAGCAGAAAAAAAAACAATGTGACAGCCTAGCCCTTAGCTATGGGACCTGTCTGCCTGCATCGTACTCCTTGCCTTCGGGGAAGGGGTTAAGTTCCCACCATGCCAATGACTTCATGGCTATGGAATTGGAGGCAGCTGAGCTGGAATCTGTGGGCTGGTGTTGGGCAATGAAACCGAATCTGCAGGACCCTCACCTGGCCCCAGGCTCCTGGGAGAGGAGCGATGCTTTGGGGAAGTTGCATAACCTTGGCAAGGGCAGGAGGTTTGGGCTTGTGGCTCCTTCAAGACCCAAGTGCAAATCAGTTCTAGTGTCTAAATTGCTGCTGTGGCCAAACAGCTGATTGTCTGAGCGGCTCTTCTGGCCTGGCTGCTCTGCAAGCTGGGCAGGCTGCCCTTCTGCACTGCTGTTTTGCTAATGTGTGTCTGCAGCTACAGCCGTTAGACCCTCGGATCCTGGGCTTCATTTCATAGACTTGTTTACACACGTTTCAATAGGTGAGGCGAGGAAAGCTCTTCCTTTGGGCGGGTCATTATTGATAGCGAATGCTCTTGAACATCACACTGAATTGCAGTGCAATTCAGCCGAACTGGCAGACCAGTTTTAACCTTTGGGTAATAAAGTAGGTTTGTTCTCAGTGCAGGAAGCAATGAATTGCCTCAATGTGAAGCTTTGGTGCTGGGGGGGGGGGGGGCCCGGGAACAACAACAAAAAAAACCACCCTGACTTATAGGTGCCAGGCTTTTTCTTTGGGAACAGGAAGTTCTTCCAAATCCCCCTTTACGACAAACTGAAGGCATTGTTTTTTTGCTACAAACTCCTGACCAAGATCCTGTTGTGTTGTTTCCATCCCATGGTTGTTCAGTGAACCTCCTGAATCTGCAGCCCTCAGGAAATTCCCCTCTATGACTTCTCACTTCTGTTCTGAGAAATTCTAGGGGAATTCAGCTGCTTCCAGTGAAGATAATGTCTTGTTGGAGAGGAAGTTCAGCATTTAAAGTTCTTGTGATGGAAGCGATGTGCTCAGCACAGGTCCTGAACTGCTGATCTTTTATGAAACCCTTTCCAGCAGTCGTCTGAAACTTAACTCTTATCCCCCCTGTCCCCAGGTGAGAGAAACAGAAACCATGGATGCCCAATGGCTTAACTACCCTGGCTCTGGAGACCTGCCAGATGATGAAGACATTGCTGAATTCACACCTCACTTAACTTCTGATGAGTTTGATATTGATGTTGTATCTGGCTCTGGAGGTGAGTGGGGAAGTAAGTAACCGTGTGCCAGCAGCTGCAGAACTGAGTGAGGGTACAAACCAGGGCTCTAGAAGGAGCTGTTGTGTGCCAGGTGAAGATGAGAGAGCCCTGTGGGTTGGAGGAAAGCAGTGAAAGTGGTTGAATCACCTGGGGAGGACAGATGGAATCCAACTGAATGTTGGAGGCTGAGGCTCTTTCCTTAGAACTGTGAAGAACTTGTGAGAGACTTAACAAATAAACAGAATTGTAAACTTGAGGCAGTGTTAAAGGGCTTAAAGCTTACCTTGTTTAGCCTCAGCTGAGACAGTAAAGGACTAACTGGTGTGCAAGTGAACTCTGTGACATGCAAAGCTCCCTGCCCAAACCAGTTTCAGCAGCTCCTTGTCCCCTTTATGTGAGCATTTCTTCTCTGAATGGAAAAGAACAAGTCCTGAAATCGGTACCTGACATGTTTGGGCAGATCTGGTGACTAGAGGTTTAGCAAGCTATCCTCTAGGGGTGGGTGGTGAGAGCTTTGCCCTCCCTTGGCATTAGTTTGGCAAGCTGTGGCAGACCTGCTTTGCAGAGCAACTCCAGATATTCTGCAGCGGGGTCCCCTGGGTACAGCTGAAGATCCCTGGTGTGCACGAGGTGTTGCTCTTGGGGTTGCATCTTTTGATCTTGTGCAATCAAAACTATCAAGTGATGGATGCTCCAGCAGGTAAGAGGGAACTGTATTCAGGAGAAAACTGGAGTCCTAGTTACACTGCAGTTGCTGGAAGTGTTGGAATTATGGAGAAACAGTTTGTAATGTGAGGAAAACTTAGTGTGCTCTTCTTCCCTTCCTGCAGACTACTTGGATTCTGATGATGCTACGTACCTGACCACTGTGGATACTCCTGTGGTAGGTGTTACCTTTGCATTTTTTTAAGCCACTCTGGTCTGTCTCTGAAGCTTTCTGAATACCCTTCCCCCTGCAAGATGAGGCATGGAGACAAATCTACCTGCGTGAGCCAGAACAGCACACTTACAAAGCACTGAGCAAACTTTCCTTGCCTTGCACACCCTCCTGCTTTCAGCTGCAGGTAGGCTGGGTGCTGCTTACTGACGGGTGTGGTCTGTCTGTTCTCTGCAGATATCTGACAACTATATCCCTGGAGATAGGGAGAGAAAGATAGAAGGCGAGAAGAAAAACACGATGCTGGACAATGAAATCATTCCAGACAAAGCTTCACCTGTTGAAGAGAACCTGTCCAACAAGATCTCCATGGCAAGCACAGCCAACAGCAGCATCTTTGAAAGAACAGAAGTTCTTACAGGTAATAATTCACATTGTTCTTAAACTCTGGCGACAAATTATTCGTATTGTAAATCAAAATGGCTTGCATTGTTCTCTGGGGAGCAGTTCCCTTCTGACAAAGCAAGTGAGTTGCATTACCACTGTGACTACCTGTAACCAGCAACTTCTGCCTGCTAGTCCTCGAATGGCAGAGGAGCCTATTGCTTGCCTTGCTGGGTAAACAGCTTATTTTTGGGCTTGTCACCTGACTGTTGGCTTAAACAAGTGTCACAAGTCATGTGACAGCTGCCGTGCACCTGCCAGCCTCAGCCAGAGGCATATCTAGCCATGAATCAACAGTGTCATAAACTTGTAAAGCAAACACTGGCGTTGTCCTTCTAACCTCTGCCCAAGGCTTGCCTTTTCTGAGCCCTGCCAGGGATGTAGCAGCTCCTGTAAGGTGTCTGAGCACCTCGTCAGCTGTTACAAACCCTTGTTGCTCTGTCTGGAGCAAAACCAAGCAGCATGTGGGACAGATCTGTCTCAAGGCAAGCTTCATCCTGCACTTAGCGTGATGGTCTGAGCACTGGTCTTGGCAGGTCACGTTGATACGCAGCCATCCTTCTGCCTGGAAGACCTGGAGTGCCGGGCCACCCAACATCAGAGCTGGCTTAGTGCAGTGAGAAGGTGTCACAGCAAAAGATAAACTTGACTGGGGGAGAGGGGAGAATCTTAGTGGTGATGGTGGGGAGCTGTAGCAGTGTACTTTGTATGGAGTCTCCAGGGTGTGCTCACATAACCAATTGACAACTCAATCAAATGAAAGCTGTGCCACCTTCCTGGAGTTGATGCTGTCAGTAGTTGGGGCATGGCTCTTTCTTTGTCTCCAAGCATGGAGGTTGTCTTATCACAAGTCCTTTTTAGCCCTTAACTGGAAGATTAGAATGGACTGTGATTGGCTTATGGTTGGAGGAAAATCAGTTTCTGGCTTTTATTTCCAAGAACATCTTCTGTTGTAGAAAATGTCAGTACCGATGGGGATAGGTGTGTGGGCAAAGCTGACTCTGGAGGCAGTTCTGGGGACTGGTGCTGTTGACAGATCTTGAGATCTAGGGACTTGGTGTTGCCTCAGAGTTCGGATTGAATTCCATGTTTCCTCTCCCCCTGCAGCTCTCATTGCAGGAGGAGCAGTCGGCCTCCTGTTTGCGGTCTTCCTGATCCTCCTCTTAGTCTATCGTATGAAGAAAAAGGATGAAGGCAGCTACGACCTCGGGAAGAAACCCATCTACAAGAAAGCCCCTACAAACGAGTTCTACGCTTAAAGCTCAGCGGCGCCCTGTGCCCCTCGAGGGACAAATGGACTGTATGGAAACACTGTGCCCTCCAGTGAGACGTGCTGAACAAACGCTCTTTTTGGATTGAATTTCAAAGTGACTTTGAAGGGGGGGGACCAAACTTTCTACATAATCCATCCCGCTCAGCTAACAAGGGCCCAATGAAATACAAAGAGTCTTGGGGGGAGAAAAGCCTCAGTGTATTTTTTTTTTCCTAAAGCTAGTGTAAAAACAATAAAGATGCCAAACTTTCTGCTTCTTTTTATAGAGGGTATATAAACACCAAACAGACTGTATGGAAGCAAACACCATGTGTTTGCAGCCAGAGTGCTGTGCTCAGATTGGCTGCTTCTGTAGAAGATGGCTTTTTTTATAAACCTGGCTAATAGACATCTTGCAGCAGGCTGTCGATGTGAAGCGTTTCTGTGAGGAACTATTTATGAATCTCTTACACTACCGATCACGTTGCCTTGCTGGGGAGCAGAGGGTCCACGGGGATCCCGATTCCCCCAGTGCCATAAATGGCTGATGGGAATGTCTTCCCCAGGAGACTTCTGCCTTCCTGTCTGCCCCAGGCAGGGTCATTAGTCTGTGCAATCAGGACAGCCCCTTTCTCTTGGCTATGTGACACCCTTTCCTTGCCTTTGCTTTTTTATTTTTATTTTTAAGGATTGCCTGTAGGATTTTTATAACAAAAATTTTTAAAGAGGAGAGCTTAACGTTTATATGAAGTTTTGTAGAAATTGTTTTGAAATAAAAAAAAAAAATCTACTTTTTTAATTTCCTCAGATTTATTTTTTCAATCCCTTTGTGTTTTCTTTGGGCATATCTCTGGAGATGTCTATGATTCATATTCAGAACTGCAGCAGTTAGCTACAGCGTGGTCACTGGTTTCTTCTGCTTCTATAGCAGCTACTGTAGAGGGTAAAGATATTTATGGTTTTCCTGTAATGTAGGTTCTGATTTTTTTTTATTATTTTTTTTAAAATAGAATTATTTATAGTTTCTGGAATGGCTGCTCTTTGCATCTGGTGACTTTTATCCTTCTTATGTAAAATGCTAATATAATGAGTCTCTGTGGAAACTATTTAAGCTTTATTCTGTGAATTTTAATTATAAATTCAAGGCAATAACTTTTAGACTTAATCTGTATGCAAAATTGGATTCATTATATGATTGAAGTAGGGGAAAGATTTAGTATTTCTAGCCTGTAATATATTATAATCAGTCCTATAGAGCTCTATGTTATATTTTTACAGAGAAATACACAACTAAGTGTGAAGGCTGGAGGTAACCCTTCAGCAGCCTCGCTGTCTGTGAGGTCTGTTTTGTACTGCTGTTTGGCCAGCATCTTGCCTGGAGTGCATGTGGGCGTTGGGTCTGCCTGGGTGGCAGCTCCCAGCTGTGGCTCTTGCACTGCATACCCTGTATGTAGCTCCTACCTCTCAGACCCATTCCCAGTGCTCCAAGAGCAGAGGATGCAGTGCATGTCCTGTGCTTTGGGGTGGCGTTGCAGGATTGTAGCTGTTTGGTGCGGTTTGAAGCCCAACCTGGGTAGGCAGCATGAAGCTGATGTAATCTAAACAGCTCTTTGAGCCTCCTGAGCAGGACTTTGAGGCTTGTGGCCAGATGCTTAGAGGCAACAGCACAAAGAAATGAGGCTTTAGTTGGTGGTGGCCGCTCCTTGGTGCTGCCCTGGGGCAGCAGGCAGGGATGTGTTGATGTGAGTTTGGGAGGACTTTCCCAAGGGTCCTCCAGCACGTGTGTTTTTGGAAGCTGCAGGCTCTGGGGTGCTCTAAAAACTATGCACAGTTGGATGTAGGGTAGGAAGGAGAGGGGGAACTCACTGCCTATGGACAGCACTGCCAGGAAGGCAGAAACAGTGTCTGCTCTGGATATCTCAATTCTCTCGTGTAACTGCTCTTGGGGATTTTCCACTGTTACTTCTATTTTTTTTCTCCACAAATAAACTGGTACTTTCTAAAATTGGCTTCTTGGACTGTTTCTGATCTGGGATTACTTTTGGGAACTGGATAACAGAGCCTGTGTGTGTAACTCCTTGGTTTACCAAAGGGAGGGGTGTGCTGGGAGCGGTGTGGCAGTGCCCTGCAGTGCCCTGCAGCTCAGAGGGGCTTTGTCACTGTCCCCATTCCTGCTGCCTGTAGGAGCAGCAGGGCTGGGCTTCTGGAGCAACCTAGTGCTGAGTTCTTCAGGCAAGCAGTGTGGATGCAGCATGGCCTCCAGGTGGGAGCATATGTCCTCTGTGCCACTTCAACCCAGAGCAGCTCTTTGGTAAGCCCTGGAGGAGTCTGTGGCTTCTCCAGCCCCTCTGCCCTGGCACTTTGGTGCTCCTGAAGGATGGGGTTGGCTCTGCTTGCTGGGATGGGTGTTGAGTGTCCAAAGAAGTGCAGTGTTTAAATGGATTATTGTCCTTGAGAAAATCTAATTGCTCTCTCCCTGCTAGGAACTCCTGCTCTGGGCAGCTGGGAGCAGTGTGAGTGCTCCCTTAGGGCTACAGATACACACTGGCTCTGTGCTGCTGCCTGCTCTGTGTCCAGGACTTCAGGTGTTACTGGGCTGGGCTGGCCTCTGCTCCTGGGAGCTGCTGTTTGTCCAGACCTGGTGATGTATGCCTGCATCCTCTGTGTTCTCATGCCTCCAACAGCCGGGATGGGCTCTTGGCCTTGCACCTCAGGACAGCATTTGTTTGTCTCTTCCTTTCCCGAGGGCTTCATTTCAGTTGCAGGAATCCCTTGTGCTGTGTTTGTGCAGTGCTCTGGATGGGCTCTGCAGGTCACAGGGTACAGCACCCACAGGCTCTGCTCCTTGCTGCCTACTACCCTTGAGTGATGCTTCGCAGAACCCGCCCTGCTCCCGGCTGTCATTCGGTCGCATTTCCTCGTGGTGCAGCTCTGCTCTTACACCAGGACCCCCTTTGGAGTTAGAGCTGAGCACTGCCGCCCTCTGCTGCGGGATCGGGCGCTTTGGGGTGGGCTCCTCCGGGATGCTCTTAGCCGGGTGACCCCGTTACCCCTCCCCGGGCTCTCCCGGGCCCCGCTCCGCTTTGTGGCTGCTGCCCCCTCCTGGCAACGTGAGCACCCCGCAGGGTTTTCTTTTTCTTTATTATTTTTCCTCTTTTTTTTTATTTTTATTTTTTTATTTTTTATTTTCCCTTTTTCCCCCCTCTTTTTTTTTTTTTTCTCTTTTCCCCTTATTTTTTTTCATTTTCTGTTTTTTTCACTTTTTTTTTTTTTTTTTTTTTTTTTTTTTTTTTTTAATTTTTCCTTATTCACCCTTCCCCCTACTTCCACCCATTTCCCTTATTTAGTTAGTTAGTTAGTTAGTTTTGCCATTGCATTGCAAGAAAATCAGTCTAACTACCCAGCAGGTAACAGCTTCCGGCCTGGAGATACAGAGAACTCTCATATTGTCATTATGTCTGAGTACTTTATCAGCCAGTTCACCCAGAGTGCAGGGTGGGAAAGGCTCAGAAGAGGGGTAAACACTAGCAAAGTGTCAGCTATGATGTGCTGAAGCTCGTGGCAGGGCTATAGGTATGCTCTGAAAGATGCCTAAGACCTGCAAGGAAGCGTTGTTCCTCTGCAGAAGGCACCAAAAAGGCAGCGGGGTGCAGTGTTGCTCCCACCACATCATCCTGACCTTGCTGTGCTGAGCATCACTGAGAGCAGCTTTGAGGTCAGACCAGGGCCACAGGAACCAGAAGGGGCAGGTAGGGGTTTCTCTGCTAAAATATCTATGGCTTGGGAAATGTGCAGGTGGGAGAAGATGCATTTGTCCTGGGAACAGTGTCAGTTTAATAATGTGGAGGCAATACTGCAGGGGAGCATTGAGTGCATACTGCATGTTCCGCACTGTGCTGCTGTGGGGAGGTGATGCAGTTGGGTCTCCTGGGCTACCATGACTAGCAGTGCTGCTAGTTCATCTTCCAAATCCATCTGTTTCAAAGGTGCACCAAAGCCCCACTCCTTTCCTTGAGCTTTCACTTAGGGCTAGGAGATCTGGGTCTCTATCCAGCAGCCTTGGGAGGAGGTGCAGCAGAGATAGAATGAGGGCTGGGAGTGCCAGGGTCTCTGTACCCCACAGGCTTCTGCTGGCCCCAGGGAATGGAGTGCTCCTGGTGCAGAAGCACCACTCACCCCCCAGTGCAGCCCTCTGCTCTGCACCATCCCCCTCCCACGAGGAAGTTTCAGGGCGTTTGGCCCAATATTGACATTGCAGAGGGGAAAGGGCTGCTTTTTAATCACCGCCTGATTATTTGGAGGGAAGGCAGAGAAGCAGGGGGCCGAGGTGGGCCAGCAGCCCCACAGAACATGGAGTGAACAATGGGGCCAGTGTTGGGCTGAGCACCACAGCTCCCTGCAGCAACGCCCAGCAAGGAGTTTTCAGCACGTTCCTATTCCCTGCTCAGGTATAATTACACCGGGGAACAAAGAGCCCTTTACAGCTGCCTGCTCCCCCCAGTACAGCCCTGGGGCTCCCTGCACACACACCTCTGTGCCTGCTCTTAGTGGGATGTGGGGGGACAGGGGATCATGGTGACAGTCAAACCCTATCTGGCTCTTCTGGGGTCTGTCCATCCTCACTGCAGAAAGCACGGAGCAAATCTCTCCCTGCCCCAGTACCAAGCCTGCTTTTTTGGGGTTGCAGCATTGCTGTAAGCTGGAGATTGTTTATTAAAGCCTCTTTCCTTATGCCCTATTCACAGCACTGGAGATGCTGTGTTGGGACAGGTAGTGACACTGTGGTAGCAGGCAGAGTCTGGCTCAGAAACCTCTGGCCCAAGCTCAGCTCCCATGGCCAGGCACCTCTCTGGGATCATATTTACATTCAACTGTGTTCAAACATCAAAGCAGTGAAAATTATTAGTATTATTTGACACACAGCCCACACTGACATCTCTGCTCCCAGCCATCCTCACCATGCCAGCACCTCCCTGTGTGGGGGGAGCTGGGCACAGCGCTGCAGGTTTGTAATCCTCTAGCTGCTGCTTCTCCTCCAGAACCCCATGCTGAGCCCAGCTTCCACCCAGATCTCCTGGCCCTGACACAGAGCTGATGGGCACCAATGGGGGGTTCAGTCCTTCCCTGCACTGCAGGCAGCCCAGGGCTGTGCCAGAAGGGAGTTTTTTCAAACTTGCTTGTTTTACAGCAAAACAAACAACCCAAATCCCAACTTTCCACACGGGCAGGGCTGAGAGCTCAGAGCTGCAGACACAGGAGCACAGCGGGTTCTGGACGGCCTGTTTTGCAGTGCCTCAGCATCCCTCAGCTCTGCTTCTTTTTGGCTTTAGCTCTGCCTCCCGCCACCCTGCTGGGTTATTTGCGGCTCTGTCAGTAACGGATAAGTCAGCAGAGGTTTTCTGGGCACTGCACAGACCTAGGGCCCCATCCAAAGCTCTGGGGCCAGGGCTGCCCTTGGGGTGATGCTGTCGGCACGGTGCGCACCGGCCCGGCTGCGGCTCGCTAGATGGCGGCAGCTGCTCTCCTCCCGGAGGGCGGGGAGTGACAAGCCGCGATTTTCCTCTCGATGTTTTGAAGGAGCTCTCAGCTCTGCCTCCCTCGTGCGGTGCCGGGAACTGTGCTTCGCTTTCCCAACGCCCTAAGGCTTTGCCATTATCCGGAGATAATGGCGTGTGCCATAAACGTAACAACGTGAGCCTGTTTGAAGCCCTTCAAGTCGACAAGAACCGCTCCTCCTGCCTTTCAAGACCCGGCTGCTGCTGAACGAAGAAGGGGTCACTTTCCATTCATCAAACAGAAGTGGTGCACAGGGAACGGCTCTGGCTGCAGCTCCTATAGAGCGGGTGGGGACTGAGCCCTGACCCCATCCTAACTATCGAGCTCCCTGTGCAGATGAAGAAAATGCTCTGGGGGGTGAAGAGCACTGTCTCTGCATGTCTCAGCAGAGCTATGACTGCTGGGAAGAATTTGCCTTTCTTCCCCCACCCCCCACCTTTTGAAATAATGCCATTTGGGTCTCTAAGCAGGAAAAGAAATCAATAATAATCTAGTGCTGATATTCAGCTGCTGGATGAGATTCCTCCTATAGATTAATAACACTTAAAGTCCCAGACATTCATCATTCCTGTCCCTCATGGCCTTTAAATATATGGGCAAGGGGCACACTGGGGAGAGGGGATGCTCTGTGCCAGCACAGGAGGTAAAACGCGAGGGCCAATAAAGCAGCACTGAATTGGTAAAGAGTCCATGCAGTGTGATTTATTGGTGCCCAGATGTGAGATTTCTGCTGTTGCAAGAGACAGCAGGTCAGGACACAGCAGGTATACAGGGGACTCTTGGGCATGGCCAAGGGCTGCTGGCAACGAATGCTTCCCACCCAGCTCACTAGCTGTGCATGAAGAGGTGGAAGTTGGTCCTGGTGAACTCCTGGTGGATGCTGTTGAGCAGTGTGTCTGAGTCCTGTGGGACATCAGCAGGGAGCTGCTGCCCTGGAAGGAAGCTCTGCTCTGGGGTGTAGGTGAAGGTGAAGGAGCTGGAGTAGATGAGGCCATCATCCCTGACCAGCAGGAGTGGGACAGTGATGGGGTACCGCAGCCACCTCCAGTCGCTGCCGAAGGCAGAGACATCAGGGACAACACACATCAGGGATTTGGGGCTCCTAGGAGCAAGGCAGTAAAACAAGAGTTCACCTGAAGGGGTCTTGGTGGTGGAGACGGGGTCAAGGACCACCCCCCCCTCTTGTCTCGTGGTTCCGTTCCTCTGCCCACTTGTCACCAGCCCAAGGCCCCCAGGCCATGCCCAAACCCAGAGCCACTCCTCTGCCCCCTCACCTGTACATCGTCTCTGCTTCCACGTCCCCGAACCAGACCTTGAGGTGAGCATGGAAATGCTCTCCTTGCACCTCCAGCATGGCCACATCCCCTCCGCCACTGAGCTGCATGGGGCAGAGCCACAGTGGGCACAGGGCTCTGCCTCTCCTCCCTGTGTCTCAAACCAGAAGCCGAGCAGAGGTGCCAGGGCTCAGCAATGGAGCAGGTGAGCCCACATCCATCCTGCACCCAGAACCATGCCTACCTGCAAGGCTGTGATGAGGGGCACAGGGCTGACGGGCTCACGAGCACAGGCCAGGCTCTCGCTGAAGCTGTACTCCACCGTCTCAGTGCCAATGATGGTCCAGCAGGAGCCGTCATTCAGCAGCTCCCGGTTGGCTTCCTTTGGACATGGCGATGCCTGCAGAGAACATCACAGCTCTGAACACATCACGGTGGGGACGGTGGGCAACCAGTGCCATGACACCTGGTATTTGGTCCCAGTGGAGATCTTTGCAAAAACTTTGGCTAGGAACAAAGCAGAGGAGCTCAGAGAGAGGATGCGGAGCACCCAGGGGTGTTCGGCCCCCTGTACCTGGAACTGTATGACTTTCTCTGTGGACAGACACAGGTACATGCGGTCGCTGCCCTGGAACTGGAAGGCACACTTGTGGAGCTGGGAGATGGGCTCGTCCACGTCCAGCATAGCATACTGCTTGCTCACCTTCCGAATGATCTGCAAGGCAGATGGTCAGCATGGGGCTGGGGAGTGCTCTGTCCCCATCCATGTCCCTGTGCATACAGAGCACTGCAGAGGAGGAGAAAGCAAAGGGACAATGCCCACATTGCTCTCTGTGAGCCCCTCAGCTCAGGGGAACAGCAGAGCAGCAGCAGCCGCCCTAGGAGTGCCCATTGCTCATTCCCATGGGGATGGAGCCTTACCAGGGGTGGCAGGGTGATGCCGGTGGCCGTGCAGATGAGCTGGACCACAGAGCCGTAGCGGATGTATCCCTCCCGCAGGGGAAACTCACTTTGGGTGCAGCGCTCATCAGCTTTGCAGGAAGGAAAGAGGCAGAGTCACCATCACAAGCAGCGACCTCCAGCTAACTCCCAATCCTTCAGCCCCCGGGAACCGGCATAGGATGGGTAAGCCTAGGCTGGAGAGAGGCAGCCGTGGAGACAGCTCCTTACCCAGGTGCAGGGTGAAGGCTGCCCACTGCCTGGCACTGGCGATGAAGGCTCCTCCCTCCACGGACAGGTAGCGGGTGCTGACGGTCTGTGAGCGCAGGCGGTTGAAGAGGGACACTTTGGAGCCTGAGGAGATGCACACTGTGGGGGAAGGTGGCGGGGTTAGGGTTGGAACCACAACCCTGCTGCTTTCTGCAGCTGGACAGGACAAGTCCTGGGTTCTGGTGTGACCAGCACTGCAGGAACCAGTGTTTCCCAGCTGCCATTCTCTTCATGGCATCAGGACATTATACACTGCAATAGGTCAACCCTTTGGAAGCAGACATCACCTCTGCCCAAGTGGATCTTTTGAGATTCAAACCCATGGGCTTTGAATTTGCCCTGACCGCTTCGGAGCCAAGCCCTGAGCACTGTGTCCTATCTCACTTCATCCCACTGCACTCCAGCCCATCTCATCTCACTCTGCTCCACGCCATGTCATGCCATGCCATTCTATGCTAACCCACCTCATCCCATCCCACCCCAACCAACCCCACCCAGCCCCACGCCTGCTTTCTCCCTGGCAGAGCCAACTCCATACGCACGATCCGTGTTCTTCAGCGACTGCTTCTTCTGCGAGGGCTTAGAGATGACCTTGATCAGCTTGCTGTGGAAGGTGCCGATCTCCTGCCCGTTGCTGAAGAAGAGCTTCAGGACCAGGCGGAAATGCTTGCGCTTATCCGTATCTGAGATGTACAGAGCCTTGGCACAGCCAAACCCCTGCAAAGGGCAGAAGGAGCGGTTGCTGGATGTAGACTGGGGGCAGCAGGCACAGATATGGTCCCTCCAACCTTCCTCACCCTCCTCACCGCCAGCCCGGGCACAGCGTGTTGCCAGGACATAATGGTGCCCTTTGAAAGAGCCCTGGGTTCATTTACAGGGGGAAATGACCAGAGATGTTATTACAGGTGCAGTGAAGAACTGGGGATCAGCAGTGGCTTTATTTACACTGGGGGCAGAGAATTCCTCATGGAAATTCATGTTTATGTGTGATTTATCCCACATCACATGAGGGATTGCCCCAGCTTTGGGTTTCCAAACCCAGGCTGGACGGCTGATAGGCCACGCTCTAGCAACAGCTCCAGCACTGCAAACAAAGGCCCTCTTTGTAATATTTCTGGCCCAGCTCAGACCCCGTGCTCTTTGGGGACCCCAGACAACACTTTTCTTTTTGCCCCTATCAAAAGATGCTAGATCGCATCTCAAGCTCTTGAACTTTAGAAGGGCTGGGATTTCTGTGTGCGTTATGTGTGGGAATGCTGCTGGGGGGCTGTGCTGCAAGAGGGGAGCAGGCAGCAAGCACTGTACCTTTGCATCCGGCTGCTCCTCAAAGCTGAGCTTCTGTGTCTCCATCAGGCTGCTGCCCATGGTGTCCAGCCCCATGTAGCCCCACACACGGAGCCCTGCCTCTCCCACGTCCCTGGCTGGGATAAATGGGGAGGAAGGGGAAGGGGAAGGGAAAGGGGAAGGGCAAGGGCAAGGGCTGCCCCCAACATGTACCTGTTAGCTGCTCCTGCTTTAGCTTCCATCCTGGCCCGCCCAGATAAACACAAGGTGGGGGGCAAAAAAACCTGCAGAGACCAGAGGGCACTGTTACTGCACCCACAGAAGGTTCTTGGCAGAGATAGGTGCCTCCAAGTGACCCCAGAGCTGGCTTAGTGCTGCTGTCCCACCTCTGGGTGCTGCTGGTGGGCACAGGGCAGGGACTGAGCAGCAGGAGGGGGTGGGGGTCCCACAACCCCCCAGCCCAACCCTACAGAGGCTGAGCTCTGTGCTCTGCCCGCCTGGAATGTGGAGTTTCAGCAGCTCAGGAACAGAGTTTGCATTCACAGCCAGATTTGGAGACCAACGCAAATAAATCTATACCCAGCATTTTGGAAACCTATTTTCCTGTGTTTTATTTGGGTTTCCACTGTCACTGCACTCGTGTGAATGGTGCAAATTCATTCTCTATTGATACTAGGTGAAATGCCAGCAGCACGGGGAGGTGATATTTTGGAGCCCTAAAGTGCTGGGGTCCTGGTTTGTTTAAACAGACCTCCCCCAGCTCTGGGCCACGAGGACATGAAGGAAACAAGACCAGCACCTTTCATCTTTAACCTGGGGGCAGCTCAGCCTTAAAGGTGGCACTAATAAGGGGGGGGATTATTTATATCACAAAGACTAATGGAGGATAAATTATACTCCATTGCCACAGCTGACGTCACTGCTCAGGAGTAGCAATTTTGGAGATTCAAGCCAGAACCTCAAGGCGCTCTTGCAATGCGGGGAGGATTTTCAAAAATAGCTTCTGGGAGACCATGGCCATTGATGGAAAAGTCCCAGCGTGACCTTAAAGCAGCAACCTCTCCTCTTTGCAATTTCATGCTCAGAGGGTAAGACCTGAATGGCTTCTCCCATTTTACCCATCTCCCTGACCTTGCTGGGGGGAAGAAGCCCAGGAGGAGCACCAGCTCCAGGTCTGTGTGGGTGGGAAGGATGCGTCCCACTGTTCAGTCCCTGAGGACTGAATAGCTTTGGGTGCTAAAAGATCATGAACGGACAGCAAGGGGATATGTTAAATCTATAATTCTACATCACTGCCACACCAGGTTTGATGAAAGGGCTTTCACAAGCTGAGCTCTGCAGAGCTGCTTTGGGAAGGAGAAGATGTCTCTTACCTTTTCTCGTTGCCATACGACTTCTGGGCGACTTTGGCATGCAGTATGAGCACTGTCTGCTCTGCTGGCAGCTGCAGGTATCTCCGCACGCCATCCCGCAGCAGGTCAGCTTGGTATGGGTTGGACCTACAAGACAGAGGTTCTGCTGAGCACAGTGCACCCAGGGATGCTCACTGCCTTCTGCAGGGCTGTGGGGTGAGCACAGACTGTGCCCAGGCTGAATTTGCTGCCCCACAGCCTCACACAGGGCAAGGAGATGCTACTCCACAGCCCTCAGGCTTTGCTTGTGGCTTCACCCATTAGCAGAGTATGGAACAGCCTCACACCAAGGTGAGGCAATGGCAGGGAGTGTTTGGCAGCGTATTGGCCAAAAAATGTGAATTAAGACGTGTGCTGACAGCACAGTCAGAAGCAAATCCTGCTCTGCAGAGCTTCCTGCAGCAGCAGCTTGGGGCAGGGCCAGGCTTGTGTGGGTACCACCGCTCCCTCCTAGCCTGCGTAACGCAGAGGCACAGTGCTGGGTGACTGCACAGCACCTATTAGTGCTCCATCTGCGCTAATTACCTTCCTTCTGCTTCGGGCTGGAAGGTGCATGCCAAAGGCAGGTAAAAAGACTCGACATCTAGCAGCAGGAAGAACTACTCAGCAACGTTTTTCTTCATTTTATCCATTCTCTTCAGCAATTCCCTCCTGACTTATGGGGCTATGCTGCCTCAGTGATGCACTCCTGAGCAGTGCTCACCACTCTGACCGTGGAGACGACCACCCAGCCTCCATCATCTGGTTTACATTTACCCTCAGCAAGTCAAAGAGCCATTGCTAATGGATGTAGCCACCCGCTCAGCTCCTTCTGGCACCTATAGCCTCTTACAGGGAATCATTCACTCCCTCTGACATTTATTATATTAAATTATTAAAATGCTTTGATTGTAGTGCAGTGTTAGTTCAGTGTCATGTTAGCAGCACCGCTTGCACTCAAAGCCTTCTTTTCAGAGCCTGAGCTCTCAGCCGGGAATCCAGTGCACAAAGTTGGGTATTATGTGGAAGCGGAGCAGGTCAGCTCAGCTCTGCAGGCCACAACCTTCGCTGGGCTGCTTTTTGTGAGTCTGCTCCTCGCCCTGCACAGCCTGGCCTAGCCCTCACTTTGGGTTTGGATGTACTGCAGGAGTGGGTGCAGTTTCTTTGGTTCCACATAGAACAAAAGCACCCGACCCAGAGGACCGAAGCACCACCCCACCAGCCCTTGTTTGGCTCTTCAAGTGCTGCCTGTACAATAACTTTAACACCACCCTCAAGTGCAGTTAACTCTGAATTCAAGCAGACTGAGTTTTCTGCTCTCCCTGCCCAGGAGCTGCTGCATGCTCTGCTCAGAGCACAGCTGCCCTGCAGCTCGCCACAGAGTGCTGTTGAATTTTCCCGTGCTTGGAGAAACCAAATCTCCTCATTAAGCCATTTTGGAGATCTGGGCTGTATTTTGTACAGAGCAGGGGAGAAAATGCCTGCTGGGCTCCTGGGTATGGGCTCAACGCGATGTTTATGCAAAAGGAAAAGCCATTAGAATTCACAGAAACGAGAAGCCTGCAGTTTCTGGCTTCCCTCATTTTTCAATACCTCCTTTAATCCAGAGCAGCCCAACCCACAGGCCCTTGTATATGCACGGGTATTTATAAATCCTATATTTTCAGTGCTGCACACACAAGTGAAATTCAGCCTTTTCTGGGCTTGGGGGATTTATGGACCACGCCAGCAGCAAACAGCAGGGCAGGGTGGGTGAGCTCTGTAGGGGACCGGAGCTCAGGAGGGGTGGTCCCCGCCTGCCCCACCACTGCTCCATTTGGTAACACAGCGTTGGCTCGGCTGCCGGAGAGCTCCGATAACACGGGTGATACACTGAGGTCCCCTATCTCTGGTTTCTGTTAGCACAAAGAGGGAGGGAAGTGCTGTTAAAGCACCAAAGCCCAGTGCAGTACGGCGCTAAAGGTGGCTCCCACCACCGCTATGTAACGTGAGTGCTGAGATGAGGGGCTGGGATGCTCTGTTCCCAGGTGCCTGAAGGTGATGCTCTCCATTGCTACAGCACAGCACATCACTTGTTGCTGCTGGGAGCTGGACCAGAGGCTCTGCAGCCCCAGCTAGAGAGCTCTCCAAACTCCCCGCTCGATGGTGCTCAAAGGGAAGGAAGAACGCGGGGTGCTTGGGCGATTTTCTTGAAGCTGATAGGAGACGCAAAGCGGAGAAGGAGAGAAAAACAAACCACCCAACCCAGAAAGCCTCTCCCTGTCGGCAATCGCTTTTACGCCGCCCCACGCCCACCCCCCTTGGCGATGCGCTTCCACCTGTGCCCACCTCCCGCTTGCCCACGTTCCTCGGTCGTGGGGGGGTCCTTCAGCCCCTCCCGCGCTGCGCCGGGCCGAACAGAGCAGAGCACAGCCGCCCCGCCTCCCCCCGCCCCGTTAAATGCCGCGCCGCAGCAGCGCTGAGCACCGCGCAGCCCCGCGCCTACCTGAGCCAGCAGCGCGGCGGGGAGCGGCTCCGCGGCCGGTACGGGTGAGTGAGGGTCTCCGCTGCATCCGCACCTACGGGAAGGGAAAGGGGAGAGAGTGAGCCCCGAGCGCGGGGGGGGGGGGGGGGGTTGGATCGGGATGGAGGGTTGAGGTTCCGGGTGGCCCCTCGGAACGAGCGGAAAGCAAAGAGAATAGGGAGAGGGTAACCCCTCGGCACCAGGTTATCCCCAAGCCAAGATCCCCGAGCTCTGTTGCCTGTGTGCTTTTCCTCTGCTTCGATGCAGCGCTCACTGACCCACCTGAGCACACGGCGCTGGGGAGTGGGCGCTGCCGTAAGCCGTGCCCTGCTGTCGGGGCAGCACTGCTCGTCCTCTGCCTGCCCTGCTCACCGCTGCGCGGCTTTCGGGCAAGTTCTTGCTTATACAAGCGAGGATCTCCGTTAGCAGAGAGTAGTAAGCTCTCGCACACCTGGGCAAAGCACGCTGCACACCAGAAGAGCAAAATCCTGCCAAAAGATAAGCTTGGAAATGGAGCTGAATTTAGTTCTGCCCCATTTCATGGGATGCTGGGTTTGTGCATACCCCGAGTGTGCTTGTGTGTACTCATGAATATGTTCGCACAAGTGATCACCCACCTTTGCCTTATAACTCCAACTGTTTCACAGGGGAAAAAAATAGCCCTGGGCATATTTGCTACAAGCAATTACATGGGAAAACTTGTTTGGAAAAGCAGAGTATTCTGCACTGGCGTGCAGCTGTCCAAGCAGGTAATGCAGAGTGATGGCATGTGCTGTTGGGGGCTTTCCCCTCGTTCTGCTGCAGAATAAGGGGTGCAGAGCTCCTGGATTGCCCTGCAGGCAGGAGCTGGTGTGGGTGAGAGGAAGGAAGCAGAGCTCTGCCACTTGAAAGGAATCCACCACCTCTTGTGGGACTGGTGGAGGGGGGAGCAGGCTCCAAGACAGGAGCCCATTCACAGCTCTGCCTCTTCTACGTAAGCTTGCAGGATTTTTGCCTCCGTCAAGCCCAGATTGCATACAGAATTACTCTGAGGTCCTCCCTGTGGGACCCTTTGTAGTATCTCTTGATAGCAACAACAAAAATCTTCCTTATCTGTTGTTTTCCTGAGAACAGGAGCCATCAGTTGCAGGCAGCCAGCTTGGAGGCTCTCAATAACAAGTAGAAAGCGTATTCCACAAGCAGATTCTTGCCATCTGTTTAGGGAATATCATTAGATTGGCATCCAATCCAGGCAGAAAGCCTGTGTGTGGGGAGAAATCTGCTCTCAGATCTCAGCCCTGCTATTTGCCACCAGGACTTGGCAATGCAAAGAGCAGAGTTAACTCCTGGGATAAATCTGGCCTCATCTGAAAGACAAATTCCCATCTGGAAGGCGTGTGTGAGTCCTTCGGGTCTGTAGTAAAATGGCACTTTCCATCAAAGCAGACAGAGTCTGCTGCGTCCAACAGGAGAAAGCTGTTGTTCATTTCTGTGGGAGTTCTAACTTCTTTTTTTTCCCCCCTCTTAAAGCATTAACTAAACGTTGTGGGATTACTGCAAGTTGGGCTTGGGATTTACTTCTGTTGGTGATGGTAGCCACCAGAAGACACAGCCAACACAGCTGCCTGCTGTAGGCAGTCTGCAGTCACAGGACGTGTGTGCTCTGAGCACTCACAGCGTTTCCCTCGAGGTTGGCATTAGGGGTTAAAGGTTTTCAAGAGAAGCCTTTGTTTGAGCATTTTAAAAGTTTCCAATAGGGGCCCCTTTGTCCGCCTTCCGAGCGGCGTGCCTGCCTGGTTCAGAACTCAGCACTCATAAAATACCATTTATAAATGCTGGATGAATGGGGCTGAAACATTGGGAGAGGCAGCAGTAAGCACACACGAGCTACAGATGGGCCCTACCATCACTGCATAAACCTGGGAAATCACAACAAAAATGATTGAGTGGCACTCATAAAGAACTGTATAAAAATCAGCTGCAGAAAGAGTCCCCTTTGTGCCACATATCCCATGGGCTCCTACAGCCCTGCTGCAGGCTGAGTGGCTCCTGTGGCAGGTCAGTACCTCCTGCCTTCATATTTCCTCACTTTGGGCCCAAACAGAAGCAAATTGATCACCAAAGCGCAGCCCCTACTACCGTAAGAGCTCCACTGAGCAAGCGTTGTCCCTCTGTCAGTATGTGCAGCACAGACGTGGTTTAGGCAATAAGTAACATCGCTAGCAGCTGGGTTTCTGTTCACTCCCCTGCCCAGGAGGAATGTGAGGGTTTGACTTCCCACTTTGCAAGTCCTTGGTTGCACGCATGAATCCATCATATACGCATTTCCCCGGTGCACAACTCCATAGGGATCTGCTGTGGTCGCCTGCAGAGAGGTGGCAGTGCCTCAGTTCCTCCCTAAGCATTGAGCATTCCCACCTCCAGGCTGTGTCCTGCTGCTTCACCAACTGATTGCTACCCCATAGTAACAGGATCCTGATCTACACTCCACAAACCCATAGGAATCCATGGCCCACAGCAGGAATCAGTAGGAGCAGATCAGCTGGGTTAGCTACTCTGCAGGAGTCTGCCTTCCCCTTGCTCCCCATACATCACCACCCTGGTGGGACAGTTGCCTCAGCAGAGAGCTGGGACAAGTCTATGGGGGCTGGTGGCCATGAAGTTATATGGAAGGGTTTTCCCATGCTACCTTCAGGATTGCCAACATGAAAAGTATCTAGACAAAGACTTCAACCACATCGCTTTTCTGTCTTGAGGAGGGCTGCAGTCTCTGCCTGCTTTTCTGCAGCAGCCAAGCGCTGCTCATTTTCTGCTATTTCAATTAAATGCTTAGCAGGATGGGTAGGATAAAGGGGAGAGGCACATGAGTAGCATTCTGGCATGTTGCCTTATGCCAACACATTGAGTCACGTCTCCAGAGTAAGAAATCTGATATAAAGATTTAGAGAAGGAGGTCGGGCAGCAGATCTGTGATTGTGGGGCTGAAATAGCAGTGGTTGTCTGTGCCCTGGGAGCTCACAGAGGTCAGCTGGGGATAGGGGTTCCTGCAGTGGCAGGAGGTACATACCCTCCTAGAAACTATCTGTCTCATTGCTTAAAGATGTTGGTTTTCTTGCTTCAGCAGCTCTGCACAAACACCACACAAGCCCATGAGCTGCTCCAGGACACTTCTTTTTCCTCTGTGGTCACACATGCATATTTCTGGGGAAAATATGCACTCTAACACCTTCCTCCCAGAAAGAGGATTTGGGCTATGGGTTGCTGCCTCAGCTTCTGGATGGCCCCGACCTCCTCTTCTCCAAAGCCTGAGGCTCATCCAGCTGCCCTCCAGGGACTCATTAGCAGATGAGCACCCGATTTTGAAAGAGAATCTGCAAGGTGGATGTTTCCTCAATGACCATTCTTCATTAACATTGAAAATTATTCCGAGGTCCATCCAGATTTGCTCAAAACAGCAGGCAGGAGCAGGACTGGGTGACCACCTGGTGTTGTCCTCTTAGCCAGATCTTTAACACACGCTTTGTGAGGCCATGTTTAGTTTGCAGGTACATACAAGCTGATGGGGAAGCTGCCAACTGCTACGTGCCTCATAGAATAGGAACTGACCTTCTCAGGGAAGTCTGTCCAGCATCCAGCAAGTCTTTCCTGTTACTGAACTCCTGCTGGGGTCGAAGCCACGATGTGTTGAGTACAGCCTTGTCTTTCAAACAACATGTCCTTCCAGGTGGCACTTGGCCCAGAGGAGCTGCCACAGCACTGTAACCAGAGAGTGCTGCAATGTCCTGGAAAGAGCCTGCTCTTGTTCACCCACACACGTGTTTGGGAAGAACCAAGGATATGCCAGTCCTTATGGAGGGGGAAAAGCACTTTATCCTCTCTTGTTTTTGGACTAGAAATTCACACTGTTTCTCTGGTCTCCACATGCTGGCGCTCCCATGCTCTGAATGCTGCAGAGGTCTCCTTCCTTGAGGGTTTGTAGCACCGGAGGAGGATGTAAGAGATACTGGGGCTGAGAGCAAGATCATTGCTGCAGAATGGTCCCCAGGGGCTATTGGTCAGTAATTCAGGGTATGGGCAGCCACAGACTGGGGGCAGGCAGGGAGCCCAGCATCCCTCAGGCTGCACCTGGCTGGTCTGTGGCACACAGGGAGCAATACAGTTGGCTTGGGCTTTGCCTCTGTGCCTCAGTTTCCCCTGCTGGAATATGAGAGGAATTGCTGTGCGGGTTCTATGCTCTAAAAGAACACAGGTGTTTCAAAGAAGAGAGCTAGGAAATATAATTCCACTCTGAAACTGGGCTTCTTTCCAGCCAGGAAGAGAAACCAACCTTTGGGCAGCCCTCCAGTACATCATGGATACAGCTCCAGGGCCAGCCTGGGCCTCAGCCATCCACACCACACGAGGGCCTTGCAAACACACAACATGCCAGGGGTCAATGGAGTTTGCACAGCACAACCTGACTGACATCAGAAGGTGTCTCCAGGTTGATGCAATCTCTCATTGCTTTCTTGCCTTTCACACCTGGGGCAGTGCACCCTTCTCTTTGCTTTCCCTGTCCAGTCTGCACTTTTTGGGCAGTTCTTTAAGGTGTGAACTCAGAGAATGGCTCTGCCAAGGACAGATACACATGGCTATCTATGGCTGCATGCTCCAGCTCCTGGAGTCTCCTTGACACTTTATGGACTAACTGCCTGTAACACAATGGAAAGCACAGCAACAACAGCATAGTAGCAAAGTCCTAGGCTGCAGCAAGCAAGGTTCTGCTCAAACAAGGCAGCCATGGATACAGAAACAAAGGAAAAAATCTACTTACCTTTAAAAGGCCTCAGGTACACTGTAATATCCAGCAAGATACCCTCATCTCCACTGCCAGCCCTTAAATGAGATCTGGGAAGGGGTGGATCCTGGCTCCAGCCCTTCTGGTCATTCAGGTATACTGCATACACCTGAGCTCCCCTGGGGTTGGCCCTGCCTTCCCACCAGGTGCTCCATCATAGGTTCAAGCTGTGACAGCATTTCTACCATGCACCCAGACAGGATTTGATTTATGCCCTACAAAGCTGCCTTACTGGATCTTTGTTATTGGGCATGGAATGAAGCAGAGTACACAAAGAATCCCATGAGTGGTGGGGATATTGCATCCAGTGCTGCCATCATCCAAAAATCCCAGCACAGACACAGGTGCTGCTGTCTGACAGCTCACACAGCACCGGCGCCATGCACCACTGCCATTCTGCCCATCTTCAGTGTGATTTGTGCCTCACACCCAGCTAAGGCCCAGAACCATGGGGTCTCCCGTGGACAGGATTTCCCCCGAGCTATGAGGTGCGGCCCTCTCTTGCACCACTCACCCCCACTTTCTCCACCAGCTTCATCCCCCCTGCAAACCATCTGAGAAAGCCCCGATCCCAGAGGCAGGAGGACACAGATCTACAGATCTCTGCTCCCTGCCTGCCTGAGGCGGGATGCGCCCAGGTCCGACCTGCATGGATGAATCAGAAGGGGAATATTCCGAGCATTTCTGTGAACCTGCGGCCAGCAGAGCGCTGCCAAGGAGGCCAGGCTGAAACCCGAGGCGGCTGTTTTTTTCCCCGAGGCTCAGCACTTGGCAGGAGCGCAGTGCAGTGATGGCGGGGGGTGGGGAGCACCCTGGGGCTGCCTTACCTGCCTGCCTCTGGGGGTCCATCCCTGGTTCTCCTTGTCCCACAGCAGGAGGGGTGCCAAGAGGAGGCTGGGCTCATTGCCAGCTTCTACATGCAGCTCATCCCTTCGTCAACCCATCTCCTTCTGCAAGGCAGAACGGCAGGCTGACTTTCTCCTTGCGTTGCTTTGACAAATGAGGGAACGCTGTGGGGTGTCACGCTGTGGCAGTGCTTATGCCCTCCCACCCCCCAGGCCTTTCCTCCTTTATAGCCCGGCGTTATCTCAAGGTCCCCGTGCTGTTTGCCTTGCCTCATAGCACCTGCCTGCCAGCCGTGTGCTTCCCACCCACCTCCCTCTTTGCTTCCCGTCAGCCTTGCTGCTGGGCGCTGCACTGAATGTAGGGTTGCCCACAATGCCCTGTTGCTGCTGGGTGCATGGCAGTGCCACCGTGCCGTGCTGCTCCCACAGCCCCTCTGTCCACAGGGAGCATGAAGGCTTCATCCAACACTCAGATGCTGTTAAAAATAGAATCGGTTGTGGGCTGGTTTTCTCCTCCTTGGTTCCTGGCCCAGGAGCTCATTCTTCCCTCTGCGCTGGCTTTGAAGCACTCTGGATGCTGTGCCAGCCTGCCATTGCAGGAGAGCAACCTGCAGAAATGCTATAGGTGGCACAGCTGTCTCCAAAACGTATAGTGGTTGGGCAGTGCTGTCTTCTAAAAAAAAAAAAAAAAAAAGCATGTGTTGCACTGAAAAGATTCTGCTAGATAAGTGGTGAAACACAGCCAAGCTGGGAGGGGGCTTTGGCTTCACCTGAGTGTGAGGAACAGAGTTCGGCCAAGTTGAAGGTTTTGCACATAACACTGATATTCTGAATCCTCTTGTAGCCCTTTTCTATCCTTTCAACTTCTTCAATATCATTTTTCAGGTGTGAACACCAGAGAGTATGTTAGGACACAGCTGTGCAACCTATTATCAGCATCCCCGCTGTCAAAAACATCAGGTTCAGGGCTGTGCATAATCGCTCAGCAATTAAGTGGAAACCCTGGTGATGAATTACAACCGAGACCTCACGGGGCTAAACAAATAGCAGCCAATAACTACTGATAAAGCAAATTTCCAGTGTGCTTTTTGAAAAAGCCCCACCCCCCTGCCTGCTCCCTGTCTCTGGGGGAAGCGGCTCTATCTGTGCTATTCCCTGTTCCCATTGGCTTTCCCACTTGGGGATGGGGCTCCTGGGTGCCCCACTGATCCAGGGTATCCCGCCAGTGCCCAAGCAGTGCCTTTACTCTTATTGCTGCCATTATTTGGCAGCCTGCAGCGTTTGCCACTTCTTTCAGTGGGCTCTGACCTGGGCTGGCACTTAACCCTAACCCGAAAGCCAAAGCAAGAAATGGGCAGGTGGGGAGGCAAGCACAACTGGAGGTTTCAGATAGCTGGTCAAAATCTCCATCCCTCAGTTATCCCATCTCAAATGCACCATCCTCCACCCTGCAAACAGGTCTGCACAGGCACTGTCACCACCTGTACATGAGGAGGTTTTTGCTTTCTGCTTTCCCAAAAGCAATCTACAGTCGTGGAGCCTTTTGGAGAAAATGACCTTTTCCAGTGGCTCTGAGACACTTCTGAGTGGGTTTTTGCCCTCTGCTGGCATTGAATTTTGGGGCGTCTGTTCCCAGCACAGAGCTCCCCGCGTCCCCTGGCTGCGCAGCGAGCGCTTGGCGGAACATCCCAGACGCATGGTTTGCAAGTGAAAATAAGGCTTGTCCGGTGGCCAGCTCCACCCAGAGCAGAAAATCAGAGCTTTTCACTTGGCAGATTGTCACTGCTGTAATGAAATGTAGCTGTGCTGAGGAGTCCCTGCACAGTGAGCCTGGGGACGGGGCTGGCAGAGCTGGGGCACTGTCTGGGTATGTTGGCGGTGCCCAGGCACCCACTGAGTGCCATCAGGGGCTGAACACTGACAGCACATCTCCTCCTCTTGTAGTGAGTGCCCAGCTCTGCTCCCACAGCAACGATGAAACTCCTGCCGCTTGCTGCGTTCCTCCTGCTCGTCTTGACGGCGCTGGAAGCCAGACCGAAGCCTTCAGGTGAGCTGTGGTGGCTGGGAATTGCCTGTGCAGAGAGGAGTGTGTGTGTAAGGGCAATGAGACCCTCTTGGAGGAAGGCTTGGTGGGACACCGTGCTCTCTGGGGTATCCCCAGAAGGATGCAGGGTTCCATCTGCAGCATGAAGATGGGGATATGGTGGGGGATAAAGCAAGTCTGGGGTCAGCAGCCTCCATCCTCCCTGGGCAGAGGTGGCCAAATCAGTTTCAGTTTCAAAAGCAGCACCACAGAGAGAGAGAAGTATGTCTCAGGGACCTCTGGGCACGGGGGAGCAGCAGAGCTGACAGCCGTGGGCTGGGCATCATCCCAATGGGACGCGCAGTGTTTGCTCACCATTACGGCCAAATTCTCCCAGGCTCAGCTACTCACTAGCCAAGCCAAATATGTTCATTGGCTTTTTGCTCTCTAAACACTCTCGGTTTGCACTGGAAGTTGCACCCATATATCCAAGAGAGGCTCTTTGGCTTAATGCTCTCAATGTGCATGCCTGTAGCAGCGCTTTTCACTGTCTTATTCTTTTCCCTTAAAAAAAAAAAAAAAAAGAGAAGTTCTGTATTTGGGCAGGAACTGGAAAAGTGCAGTAAAAAACCAGAAACTGTGGGAGGCTGCAGAAGGAACAGAAGAATTGCTGCAGAGGTGAAAACACCATTGCCTAAACCTGTGTCTAAGCCTTGTCAGGGTAGATCCAGACAGAGAGGTGCTTCTGCAGGAGCAGGGCAGCAGAAGCACTTGGGGACGAGGAGACGCTGCCATTCCCCATGGAGATGGTGTCACGGCATGTATCCTTTCCTGTTGTCCCCAGTCCCACTCTAGCAGGCACCCAGCATAGGTTTATTTGGCAGTGGGAAGGTGCTGCGCTGCCCAGATCTGCCCTTTCCGTCCTCTATAAGGAGGATAAGCCAAATGGGATGCCTCAGATTCTTGCAGACAACCACGAGGCTGATCCATCTCCTTGCCCTTCACAGCCCTGAAGTGCAGGACGGGTCCCCTGGACATTGTCTTTGTGATCGACAGCTCCCGCAGCGTGCGTCCCTTTGAGTTTGAGACCATGCGGCGCTTCATGATCGACATCATTGGCAACCTGGACGTGGGTCCCAACGCCACGCGGGTTGGGGTGATCCAGTACTCCAGCCAGGTGCAGAACATCTTCTCCCTCAAGACCTTCTTCACGCGGGCAGAAATGGAGAGAGCCATCAACGGCATCGTACCGCTGGCCCAGGGCACCATGACGGGGTTGGCCATCCAGTACGCCATGAATGTGGCCTTCACCGTGCAGGAGGGCGCACGCCCACCCCACAAGAAAATCCCCCGCATCGCCATCATTGTGACGGATGGACGGCCCCAGGACCGCGTCTCTGAGGTGGCCGCCCATGCGCGGAACGCCGGCATTGAGATCTACGCCGTGGGCATCCAGCGGGCTGACATGAACTCGCTGCGGGCCATGGCCTCACCGCCACTGGAGGAGCACGTCTTCCTGGTGGAGTCCTTCGAGCTGATCCAGCAGTTTGGGAAGCAGTTCCAGGACAAGCTGTGCGGTGGGTGAGATCCACAGCTGTGGTCCTCTTGCCTGCTCCTTGCCAGGCTGGAAGGTGGCATCGTGCAGCCTCATCCAGCAGCTGTCCCCTGGGACACCTTCCCTGTGCTGCAGTGGGATTAAAAGCTTTAAAAGTATTGCAGGCACATTCTTGTCTTCACCTGTTCCTGGTAGCTCTGCGGTGAGCCAGGATGTAATGGCAACAGTGATGGCAATATGAGCTAGGAAGAAATGTGGAACTGATTTCCCCAGGTATCTGGGGGTAGGTGATGCCTACCAGAGCCCCATCTGCATTTTGACATGCCTTTAGTAGTGGCTGGGAGCAGGGAGGCTGCTTGTGCCTTGGCCTGTGTTATGAGCAGGGCTAACCAGATATAGGCATGGGGGTGAGAGTGTGCTCTGCAGCACCCTGTCTTTGCTGGCAGCACGTTGCCCATTGCCTCCTGGCCCCAGTGCCCAGGTCCCAGCCAGATGAGCAGGCTCCTGCTCACAGGGATGTGCAGATATAGCTGCCTGGGCTTCTTTACATCAATGAACAGCATGTTCCAGCTGAGCTCAAGTTTTCATTTAGCTCCAGCTATCAACACTTAATTAATATTGAGCACTGATTTGGTGCGCAGGTAGACCTGAGGCCATTCAGAACCCTGTGCAGAATGTGGAGGTGCCTGTGTACGTGTGCTGGCAATCAGCCCTATGGGTCTCTCTGCAGGGCAGTGTAGGTGGAGAGCACCTCGGGGGCTGCTCTGATGCCCTCTCTGCCTTCCAGGGGTAGACATGTGCATGGAACGGGACCACGGATGCCAGCACAGCTGTGTGAGCACCCCCAGCTCCTTCTACTGTGAATGCCACCCTGGCTACCAGCTCAACGTGGATGGAAAGACCTGTTCCCGTAAAAACCCTTTCTAACTCTATCTCTAGCAGTTGCATGTCTCTTGGAGGGGAGAACAGGAAGAGGCCCAATACGGCCAGCAGCAGCTGGGTGCTCCTGGTGCAGGGAGGGCAGGGTGGTGTCAGCTGCACTCTGAGGCTTTCCTTTCCTGTCTCTCGGGGGGCACTGAGGCAGAGGGGTGACAGCATTTGCTTCCCCGCAGCCATCGACGCATGTGCTGACAGCAGGCATGGCTGTGAGCACCACTGCATCAGCACCCGGGGGACGTACTCATGCCGCTGCCGCGCCGGGTATCATCTCAACCAGGACAAGAGGAGCTGCACAAGTAAGGTCATCTCCCTCCCCGCTCCTTCCCTTCATTTTCCCCTTGCTCCTTGCTCAGAAGAGTCTCTCAGTCTCTCACTGGGCTTCCTTTCAGGTTGGATATTAGGAAAAATTTCTTCTCAGAATGAACAGTGAGGTGTTGGCACAGGTTTTCAAGAAAAAGAGAACCGTGGCACTGAGGGACGTGGTCCAGAGCAGTGGGACGGGGGCTGACGGTTGGGTTAGCTGATCTCAGTGGTCTTTCATCCTTAACGATTCTGTGATTCTCTGATCCCTTCCCTCCCCAGTGATTGATTACTGCAGCTTCGGCAACCACAGCTGCCAGCACGACTGTGTGAGCATCCCTGCTGGGCACCGCTGCCGCTGCCGTGATGGCTTCATGCTGCAGCACGACGGCAAGTCCTGCCGCGGTGAGTCCAGCACAGGGCCACAGGAGGCAGCTGCCATGGCCGTGTCCCCATCTGCATGGTGGTAACCACCTCTCCATGCCTTGTGTCCCAGCCATTGACCTCTGCAACGGGGTGGATCACGGCTGCGAGTTCAAGTGTGTGAGCAGTGAAAGTTCGTTCCATTGCGTGTGCCCCGAGGGCCAGCAGCTCCATGCTGATGGGAAGACATGCAACAGTGAGTACTGGGCTTCACACCGTGAGGGCTTACCCAAAACTAGCCCACTGTGAGGGGATCTGCGTGGATGGATGAGGGCTTGTGTCCTCAGAGGAAGAGCCAACAGGGTTTTGGGAAAAGGTTGAGGACAATTGCAGGTGGCTGCACTGCCCTTCAACAAGACCTGGGCAGATTGGTGAGTTGGGCGGGCAGGAACAGGATGAGGTGTAGCAAGAGCAAGCATAGGGTCCTGCATCTGGGCAGGAATAACTGCACACATCAGTACAGGTTAAAGGCAGACCTGCTGCAAAGGAGCTGTGAGGAGAAGGCCCTGGATTTCCTGTGGCCAACAGGGTGGCTATGAGCCAGCAATGTGCCCTTCTGGCCAAGAAGGCCAATGGAACCCTGAGATGCATTGAAATGAGTGCAGCCAGTAGGGTGAGGGAGGTGATCCTCCCCTCTACTCTGCCCTGGGACACTTCAAGGCCTCACCCCAGTCCATGTGGGATCCTGCACATCCCCTCTCACCATCCCATATCTATGCAGAGTGTGGGGCCGGGCATGTTGACCTAGTGATGGTGATCGATGGCTCCAAGAGTGTCCGGCCCCAGAACTTCGAGCTGGTGAAGCAGTTTGTGAACCGCATTGTGGATCTACTGGAAGTGTCCCCTGATGGCACACGTGTGGGGCTGGTGCAGTACTCCAGCCGTGTCCGCACTGAGTTCCCCCTCAACAAGTACCACAGTGCAGAGGAGATCAAGGAGGCGGTGATGAAGATGGAGTACATGGAGAAGGGCACCATGACAGGCTTGGCCCTCAAGCACATGGTAGAGCACAGCTTCTCTGAACTGGAAGGGGCCAGGCCACTCTCCTACAACGTGCCCAGGATCGGGCTCGTCTTCACGGATGGACGCTCCCAGGATGACATCTCAGAGTGGGCACAGAGAGCTAAAGAGTCAGGTGAGGAGTCCAACCCACAGAGCTTCAGCATCCAAGTTTGGTTCCTTGGGTGGTTGGCTCCTGGGAGGTGGGTTTTTGCTGCCCCAATCCCTGCCTTGCTCAGTCTTGCTTGCTCCAGGATTGCTTGATGCTGGGCAGCAGGCACAGTGCTGAGGATCTACCCTTGCCCTGCAGGTATTGTCATGTTCGCTGTGGGTGTCGGCAAGGCAGTGGAAGAGGAACTGAGAGCCATCGCCTCTGAGCCAGTGGAGCAGCACTTCTCCTACTCGGCAGACTTCACCACCATGACCAACCTCGTGGAGAACTTCAAGCTGAACATCTGCCCAGGTGGGTATCCCAGCCAGCAGCCTGCCTCTGCCCACAGAGCCCATCAGCCTGTGGCACATTCATTGGGATGATGCTGGTGGGGACACTCAGAGGCACCAACCCGAGCTGGGCACTTCCCCAGGGCCAAGATAGCTGGTACAACGCCCCACTGATCCATCCCTCTGTTGTAAATAGTGAAGTGGGGCTCAGGGAGGGATTTGAAAGGGAAGCTGGAGATGTGGTTAATGCAAAAGGACTGCAAGGATAAGGGGCTTATGTCGGGGAGGATGTGAGCAAGGCCTGCTGTGCGTGTTCTGAGCATCCCCAAATCCCTCCAACACAGAGGAGGGCAGAGGGGAGACGGAGATCCGCAGCCCATGTGAGTGCGAGGCGCTGGTGCAGTTCCAGACAAACACCGTGGCCATCCTGCAGAGCTTGACTGAGAGAAATATCCTTTGAGTGCTGCATGGGCTCACTGGGGAGGGGAGGTGGGGGGACTGCATCCAAATCCAAGCTGGAGGAGGCACGGGGGCCAGCATCAAGGATGGGCTCCATCCTGGGAGCTCAGTCCCTTCTGAGTTCTCCAAGGTGAGGGGCTGGCAGGTGCAGGTAAGGCTCACTTTGTGCTTGCTTTGGGCACACCTCTCGCTCTTTGCTCAGCTCCCAGTTTTCTTAGCATGCACACTTGCTCAGATGACAGCCAGACTGGAAGCCCTGGAGAAGCAGATTGCCCTCAAGAAGTGATCCTTGCAGCAGGTCACAGGGCTCAGAGGGGACCTACAGTAGCTACGTGGCATTGTTATTGATAGATTATGTAAAGCATCATTGCTTGTTCTTTATCACAAAATCCCAAGGGGATGTGGAGTGTATGAAAAAAAAAAAAAAAAATCTTTAAAAAAAAGGGGGAAAAAGAACTCGAGCAAAAGCCCTACTGCGAAGCAAATGGGTTCAGCCCTCGTCGTTGCCTCGTCCCTCCAGCCTGGCTGGTCTGGGGCAAGGTGGGCAAGGTTTGGAAGAGGAGTCGTGACACAGCTCCTGATGCAGCTGGGATGGGCAGCAGCCCCTGCACCGTTCCCTGCGCTGCTTTGCATGAGGAAACCCAGCAGTGGCAGCACCCAGAGAGCTGCTGCGGGCAGGATGAGGCTGTGCAGCAGGACTGCATGTGGGCTGAGTGCTCCCCAGCCCCACAGCCGTGGGGGTGCAGCCCATGGGAGAGCAGGCAGCAGGATCCCCTCATCCCTGTTTTGGCAGAATTCTTCTAGAATCGATCATTATCTTCTTTTATTGGGTTGGGTTTTTTTTTTAATCACGTAGCAAAATGGTAATAATTCTCCCTATAAATATCTACGTGTGTGTGTATATATATATTTTATTGTGAGAGCAGGGTAGTGCTATTTTTAAACCCTTATTTTATATATGGAAATTTCTATCCTGACAATAAACACCCTGGAGATTTGTAGGACATGTCTTGCTCCTTTTTGCTGGGCTGCAGGGCCCTACAATTCCTTGTGCCCAACGAGGGTCCCCCCCCCCTCTGCCTCTGCACGTCCTCTGGGAAGATCCTTGCTCTATGAGCATCACTCAGGCTGGACCCCCACTGGATGGACAAGGATGGGTGTCGCTGAGCCGGAGGTTTGATCCTAATGCCACGCACCGCCGAGCTGATGGGAGCAGCTCCCTGAGGAAAGAAGCAGTAACCCCCTGCGCTGGGATGTGGGGGACAGCAGGGCAGAGCAAAGCCCCGTTAGGGCAGCGGCTCGGCAGTCCCGCACAGCACCAATAGCGGCATCACTAGATGGCACCAGACACCGGCGCTGCCGAGGGGTGCGGGATGGGGCGTCCTTTCTCATGGGCACCTGTGAGCTGGGGGGGAGGGATGGACCTCCAGCCGGAAAGCACCGCATCGCTCTAAGAAGCGGACAGGCTGCAGGGCGAAGCTACCCCTGAGGGGCTCTGTGCATCCTCGTACAGCCGGGACGTCACCTCCACGCCTAGAGCCTGGAGCGAATGGGGAGTGCAGCGCTGCCCTCTCCATCCCAGCGGCTGCCCGACTCCCAAAGATGGTTTCAAAAGTGATCAAGGGCTTGTATCTCTCATTAAAAGCGCTAAATTAGCGGTGCACATCCCAGAACGCCTGTTTGGGTTGGCTGACTCCTTCCCGCTTGTTTAACAAATGACTTTACAAAGAGCTGAATGTAACCACAGAGTCATTAGGGGAAGCGGGTAATAATTAACAGATACCCAGACAGTTCAAGAGCAGTCCCTGCGGCACATGGAGACACAATAGATGGGAAGTCAGAGCGGGAAGAGGGCGCAATGAGACACCCGCAGGGTGAAGGCTGGGCACGGGGCACAGGGGGACGGTGCTCTCTTTTTCCTGGGCTTTGCCCAGAGCATTGCAAAACCCAGGGCTGCCCCAGGCTGCGTTTGTGGGAACACAGCTGGCTGAGAGCTGTGTGCTTGGCTATGGGGGGAACGGAAGGGGGGGGGCACCCCCCTGACTATTCCCTGTGCCCACTTCCAGCACAGCTGGGTTCTGCACGCTGCAAGAATCCCAAGGAAAAGCTTCGGGAACCATTGCACAAGGTAAGAGGGACGTTACTCAATTTCCTACCAGAGTCAATTTCCCATTGCCCAAGAGCACCCAAAGAAAACAGCTGTGCTTGGAGCAAGGGCGCAACATCCTCACGCAGGAGAGATATTGTCTGTCCCCAGCAAAGCCCCAGGAGGGAGCTCAGCAGGTCACCATCATGTCTTAACCTGGAGAATGGTGTGAGTGCAGCAGGGCACCCCACCACTGCCCAGGGGCTGCTCAGGGGCTGTTCCCCCAACCCCCGCTCAGGTGCAGCCTCATAGCACAGTTGTGCAATGCAGCAGCTTTGCTTTTTGAGCAACTGAACAATCGATGTGTGTCTTATGCAAAAGGCTTCCAGAAAACATAATGCAACAGCAGAGGAAAAAGGCACAAACACACCCTCCCAGCTTCCCCCCCACCCCATCCTGTCCCCAAGCACTTAAATGCCGCTGCCCCCCAGCAAGATACGGTCGCACCTCTCAGGAGAAACAGCAGCATGAAGACTGTGCCTGCCCTCCTGCTCGTGGGGATGCTCATCCTTTGGGCTGAGCTGCCATCAGGTACGATATGCCCAGGGGCAGGGGACTGATTGCAGCAGCAAGCCATCCCTGCTTTGCTGCAGGGGTTGCTGCAAAAGAGCAGCTCCTCCTTGTGCTTAAGGAGGAGTGGGTAGCAACTACATCACCTGCATCATGAAGGGGAAAATGTCCCCTTGGAGCCCTCCCCGGGGTCTCTCAGCTGCAGCAAACCTCCCTGTGCTCCTGCAGGCACTGCCTGGTCCTGCCCCGAGGTCCGCATCACCTGCGCCATGGTCAACCCGAGGAACGACTGCTACAGCGACCGGCAGTGCCCGCGTGGCAAGAAGTGCTGCAAGACCTTCTGTGGGCGGCGATGCATCTCGCGCATCAACCTGACCTACGGTACTGTCACCTCCACGGCCACCTCGGGGCGCTGGGGCTGCGATGGCTGTGGCTCTGGGCAGGGAGCTCGGGCTGTTGGGGTAAGCCAGCATTATCTCTTTGCTCTCTCTCCCTTTCCCCAGTGTGAGCTGCTGCTCCCAGCATAGCCAGAGAGTGCCTGTGTCCCCGTGCCATCTCCAGCCTCATGCACCTGCAGAAGGACCGCCAGCTCGCAGGGGACAGGGACAGCTTCGTGCTCGCACTCTGAGATCTTCTCTGCTGCTATGTGCCAACTTCTCACCCTCTTCCACCATTATCCGCTGCTGTTACAACAAATAAAAGCTTGTCCCAGGAGCACCGGTGTGCAGTTCCCTTCTTCCCCTCCCTGCCTCTCGTGACCCATCCCAGCACATGTCCCCAGGTGCACCAGAGCTGTGGGATGAGGAGTGGGACCAGCCCTATGGGATGGGGGTGAAGCACCCAGCAAATGGCAGGGGCACCCCCCCACTGCACAGTGCTGGTGGAGGATACAAACACCAGACGACGAGCTCACCAACTAAACTCAGGTGGGAAATAGATCATCACTCACCCCCAGTACTGAGTCCTCCCATGGAGATGCCCCCTTGCACCAAATGTACCCTGGAGTGGGAAGGACCGTGTCCTGTATGGTATGGGGCACAGCACAGAGCCCCAGTGCTGCACCCAGGCTGGCACAGTGACACAAACAGGCCAGCGTGATGGCACACGTGATGGCATGTCCCATTAGTCACAGTTCCCAGCTCCCTTCCTCCAGCAGCACCAGCTATTATCAGCTATTAAGCAGGCATTTCCATACAGCTGGCTAATTTGATAACGCTGCAATTATTCTGCTTTGTTAACAAGATTAAATCGCTAATTAGTTTGATTAAGCGCAGCACTCCAGGCGTGGGGTGCCTCCAGCTGCCCATCCTGCGGGGACAGAGGAAAGGTGACAGCACAGGAGTGCTTAATTCCCCTGCAAGCTGCCCTCTGGAACATGCAGGCCTTGTTGTGTGTGTCTGTGAGAGCCCTTCCTCCAGCCTTTGTCACCGCTGCCACCCGGCTGGGCAGCAGCAGGTGGTGATGGTGGCCTGAGGAGGGGCTGAGGAGCACTGTGTGGGCTGTAGGACCTCTGATTGGGGTCTGAATACAGAGCAGGTTTGGTGCTCTGCAGTTACACGAGACCTTTCCAAAGAATGATTCTGACCCATCTGAGAGGAGCAGCTTTGTGAGGGAAGGAGGTTTAACAGACGTAGTCCCACAGGATGCAGCTGCCGCATGGAACCCAAAGAGGGAAATCCCTAGGCTGAGAGGACTGTCTGCTATGTGTGGAGAGCAGCTGGGGATGGGCAAGAATGAATCAGTGCCACCCCAGTCCCTGCATATAATAAATACAGCTCTGCAGAGAAATAAAGCATCCTCCCTGCTGAAGGCCGACCCATGCACGCGCTCTCCCTGCGCTGCCTCCCACAAAATGAGCGCCCCGTTTGAGGTTCAGGAAGGGATGAGCCCAGTGCTGAAGCTGGTCTGCGGGCAGTGCTGTCCACCGAGGGAGGTGAGGAGGTTCCCCCATAGCAGAGCACAGCTCCTGTCAGCACCAGCACAGGGATTCCCACAGCCCTGCCCGTGCCAAGGCACACGCAGCTGCTCCTTCCCCTGACGGCTATGTAGGTTAATGGCATGCAATGTGATTGCGAGACACAGGAAACCGCAAAGCTCTGTCAATATTTAGCTTTTGCACATTTGGCTAATTAGGAAGCAACCTGTGATTCCCTCTGAAGGAGGAGCGGCTGCTCCACTCACCCCCATCGCTCTGAGTGCTCCCACTCCGCATGGGATGGACGTCACCTCCTTATTTCTGGAGTTCTCTGCGGTCCCGAACCACAGTGCCCAGGCTCTGGATGTCAGAAATCATTACACTAAATACAGCTTCATGCATGATTCATGAGGCATGGCTCCACGTCCATCAGGGCGAAAGCAGAGCGTGGTCCCAGCACACACAGAGCCCACATGGGCAGACACCAAACGCAGGCAATGGGCCGATGCCTGCTGGTACCTTTCTGCTTTGGGAGCTGCTGCGACTCACGTTGCTAATGAGCGTGGGCAGCTGGCACAGCAGCCAGGAGCAGCCCCAGAGATGCAGTGAGCACAGCCAGCTCAGGGCTGACGGAGCCATCTCCTGGCTCAGTACAGCCTCTGAAAGTAGAGGAATGGTTCTTCTGAAATGCCATCAGGAGGATCCTTCCAGCTGCAGAGTGAGAGGCACGGGTGCCACGCTGCAGCAGCAGGGATCACCCTGGGTCACAACGCTTCTACCATCACTCCAGACCTCTGGAGATCAGGGAGATGCATCACCTCTTTGTGCCTGGATCTGGCAGCGAACGCAGTCCCTGGGCTGTGAAAGACAAGCAACAAGTGAAGGCTGCCCTCGGTGTGGTGATGGTGATGGAAGCAAGAGATGGAGCAGCACAGTGCAGGGATGTGTCCTGGGTGCAGCACTGGGTGCAGAGATGCTGGAAGGTGAGGTTGGAGGTGGCGAGCATCCTCCAGGTGTATTGAAGACAGTAAATCCCTTTTAATTAAAGCAGCTCTGCTAACACACTGTACCCATTTATATTTCCCCCCTATATTTTAATTTCTTGCTACGTCAGCTATTAAATAACAACAACAACCAAAAAAAAGAGCAGGAGGAAGAAAGGAGCAGAGCTGACACGGGATGAGTCACTGCAGCACAGAGATGGCTGCTGGCTCCACTCACTGTGCAGCACAGAGCGTGGCACATGGCTGCGTCCCTTGGCCCCGCGTGGAGCATCGCCGAATGGTTATGGACAAACCCCCCCGGCAGCAGCGGGAGGAGGGCCACCTTTGAGAGAGGCAGGAGGCGAGACGTGAAGGAGGGGATGGCGTTTCCAGCTGACCTGATTTCTTCACATTTCCCTGCGCACATCACTGTGAGTTAGCTCAGGAGCAATGCTGGTCGCTGGGGCCGTGGGAGCTGCATCCCGTGGCGTGGTCACACCGATGGTGCTGTGAGCACGGCCCTGTGCTGGGAAACAGCCTGGAAATGGGAGTCCTTCCATCCCACCCCAGCTTCTGGGCGTTAGGAGATTGGAGCTGGCTGATGGGAGAACTGGTCCTTCTGCAGCAGGGTTTGTACAATGGAGGACAGTGCACCTGCCCCTCGTGCTGCAGCAAAGCTGGAGGGATGGCAGCGATGCCAGAACCAAACCAGGAGAGGTCAGGAGGTGAGCAGTCCCAGGCTGGGAGCAGAGTGCAGGGGCATGCAGGGCTGCCCAATGCCTTTTCCCTGCTGCTGGCACAGCCATACAGGGAGACAGGTCTGGGTCTTCCCAGTGGCACAGCACAAATAGGGCTGTGGAGGAGCATTGGCAGTATGTGTAGGCTGCCCAGAGTGTGCGCTGAGCACGTCCCACGGTGAGCCCACAACTTCCCGAAGGCAGTGCTCTCTCCCAGAAGAACAGAAGGGGAAAACCAATTCCCCCTGGTGGCAGAGCAGATGCATGGGAATGGCGCTCCAAAGACTCCACGGCATCGCCCCACAGCATCATCCCACAGTATCTCCCTGCAGCCAGGCAGGGAGCAGCGTGCAAGCAGCCAGTGGCGGCGTTCATCTCGCAGCTCAGCCATCCCTAATTGCCATCAAAATGAACGCTTCTTGCTTCGTGTCACAGAACAGAAGAATTTTCCTCACTTGGGTATTTTTTCCGATTTTTTTTTTTTTTTCCCAGACGTCCCTCAAAGTCTCCTCTTCCCCCCCTCCCTCCCTCCGTCGCCTCCTTCCCATGTAAACAAGCGCTGGGCGCACACAGCCTGACACATCACGCACATGGCAGCCCGCTGACGGCCCCGCAGCGCTGCCTGGCGCAGGGACGGCGCTGGCACGGCCACGGGAGGCGGGCACACGGCGAGGGGAAGGATGCTCTCCCCACAGAGCAGATCCTGCACGGCTCCGTGCACACCCAGAGAGAGCTGAAGGCCTGCAGAGTGCTGCAAGCTGAAAGGATGGACGCGGTGTGAAGCTTCGCCTTGTGCTGCTCCAACACGGCTGCGATGAGACATGGCCACGCGGCCCCAACCGGCGCCCGGCCGAGGGCTCAGCTCACCGCCCTGCCATCTCCCCGCCCTGCCAGCTGGCTCCTGGGGCAGTTCGGGTGCTCGCCCTGCCGTGCCGGAGTGCCCACAGGTGGCCCAGTGATCTGAGTGCAGCGTGTGCCATGCCCGGGGCTCACCCCGTTTGCCCACCTCCGACAAGGAGACAGCGGGGAGCCCAGCGCCAGGGGTGTCTCAGCCTGGGGGGGCTGCCCTGGTGCCCCACACGAGCCTCGTGGCAAGGAGGAGGATGGAGCCGGATGGTGTGATGGGATCCCAGGAAGGCTGAGGCTGAACGCCTGCAAGGCGCGGAGGGGCACGCTGATTTGGGGGTCCTTGCCCACCTCAACAGCTTGCTCTGAGCACTTTGAGCAGGTAAGGACATGGGATGGGGTACTTATCCTTGGCCACGGCTCCCATTCTGTCCCGCTGCCAGCCCTGTCCCTGTCCCTGTGCATCTCTCAGAGAGAAACTGCCCGCTTACTCTGGAGCTGTTCCAATTAGCAAGCCGGTTTTGCCAAAAATCGGGTTCCCCCCGGCGTGCAGAACCAGCTCACGCCCGTCTCCAGCTTTCCCAGGGGTACAGGGTAGGAATTCCCCAGAGCCCCCCTCCATCTTTTCCCCCGCTCGGAGCACAGCAGCTCGGGCGGGCGGGGCCGGAGGGCGGCACCCCGCTGTAGGGGAAGGACGGGGGGCGGCGAGGCGGCCCCCCCGGCCCCGCGGAGCTGCCGCCGGCCCCGCAGGGCTCCGCAGGGCTCCGCGCCGGGCGCGCACGTTGCGGCGGGGGCGGCACCGAGGGCAGGTGAGAGCGGAGCCGGGCCGGGCTTCGGCTGCGGGTGCGGCATCGCGGAGAGCGGGAGATCGGCAATGCAGGGAGCAGCGGGGACCGGGCAGCCGCATCCCGGGGAGCTGCGGGGAGCGGCACGCCGGGGCTCCGGCATCCCGGGGTGAGCGGGGAAGGGAGCGGCGGGTGAGCGGGGTGTGCCGGCGTCCTCATTCTGCGTTGCTGCTGGGAGCCGGAGATCGGGAATACCTCTCCCGGTCCCTCTGCAGGCGGCGGTAGGGGAGCCCCTCACACCGAAGGGCTTTCTCTTCACTTCCCTCCCCCCCAAGAAGCTCAGGGGCCCGGGTTTCACACCCCAGATCTGTGTGCCTGCTGCCCAAAACCAGGGAGTGGAGTTGGCACAGGGCAGTGCATCGTCTGCAGCAGCGCTTGGCTGCCAGCT